AATGATTCATGACATATTCTGCTAACAGACATACGGGCAAACAATATTTACTGTGTGCCCTGGCTTTCATGGCGGCAGGTGATAAATATGAAAAACTGTAATCTGAGCTTTTCAGTCCTTAAGGAGACAGCAGTGACACCTCCTCCCTGCTTTTCTGTCCCTCTGTTAGGCTTTGGCTTCATCTTTAAACCCTCCTGAGGGGGGAATGTGTCAGTCCCTCTGCAGGTCTCTGCTGCCAGGAACACAATGTTGTTGGAACGTGATTTCATATGTAGAGAACATGTGTAGAGAGGGAAAAGGTACAGCTCCTGCCCCTTGGTCCAGATGCTGATGGATGTTGTTTGGATTGGTGTAATGGGTGCTGGGCCACATGCCAGGGCCACAGCTCTCATGTAGGGGGAAGTTGTTGCTCCAACTGCCAGCTTGCATCACAACAGGATCCTAAAAAAAGATGCCAGCAAGTGGCAGGGAGAAAAGGAGGGCCAGCTGTGTAGCTGTAGTTATGAGCCAGGTGCCTAACATTTGTGGATGGAATAATATTCATTCACCCTATCACTTAGTGGGTACAAACCAATGAGCGAAAACCGAGAGATGACCTTTTTTTTTTAATCAATGTTTTCCTCAAGTGGCCCAAATTGGGACACTCGAGTTAGGTTGCCAGCATGGCCTAAGATAAGTTGCAGTTTTGGGTATACAGATGAAAAAAATCTAAATATGCTCATCGAGAGGCAGACAAGTCTTTGATAAGTCCCAGAACATCTGGTAATTACACATTCAGTGCCGTGGGTGGGTTACAAGCAAAAATGAGCCAAAATCCAGTTTGGTTTCACATTCCTCTGTTGCCTGGCAATAGAGATGTGGGTTGAGTATAATCTCTCACCTAGCATTGCTGCGCACGGAAGGCACGAAGACGCCTTCCAGCGGACTCTTTTTCAATCTGCCCCTCAGGAGACGGAGAGTCAGGCGAGAGCTCGGGCTCGCTGGCAGCCACAACAGATCTTTAATTTTTTCTCTCCCGGATGTGGTCGCACCACGGGCTGCCACTGCTGTCAGCTTGAGGGTTAGATCTCAAGCTTATTTCACGTGTGGCTGGGTGCGAATTAGCATTTGCTCTGCTTCCACCCCTCACCACGCTGCAGCTTTGCCTGCTTTCCCACCCGCTGTTTACACGCACTGCTTCCAGACGCCCGGCCTCAGCGCTGCGGCACGCTAATGCTCAACAAGCTGCTATGTGGTTTAACAACAGATCTGAGCCAAAGACAGACTGGAGCGAATATTGATATGTTTTGACATCAGTGATCTGTCAGAACTTTTTATCTGTGTGATCACAACAAAGCTTGATACTAAAAAACAAAAAGTTATAACTTAGCAGGAATAATGTTCAAAATGTCCATACAGAGAACTTGCAGCTGTTGGGGTGCTATCTAGTTCTGTTTAAAGTTCATTAACAGCTACAGGGTAAAGAGAAGACATTTTCTGGTTTCTTAGTATATTTGAGCAAAAAATAAAGAGCTAAATAAAATCTAGCCCGGCACCGAAAACAAAAGGCTCTCAATAATCCATGTCCATGTCTGTGCACGTTTGTTTCAAAGTATCTGATGAACTATTCCACAAATTTTAACTAAACTTGCAGAAAGAAATCAATAAAATAGCATCTACAATTGAACAACTATTGCAGCCAAAACATTTCAAGATAGCCTTCACAGCTAATCAACCAGAAATGGATGTAACTCAGCAAATTTTCCAAATATTGAGCTAAATTTTGGCGGGGTAGTAACTTAGTATAATCCTCAGCACGTATTCTGAGCGCTAACAGTCTGTGCTACATTGCTGTTTCAAAATTTCCTTAGATACTGTATGCATTTGAAGTCAGCTTTGTCTATTAGTAAAATACCATAACTTCCGGACTATTGAGCCCACCTGAATATAAGCCACGCCCACAAAATTTAAAAAGAAAATAAAGGTGTTTTTTTTTTTTTACTTTTAATAATGTACTGGTAACACACAAATACAGTAAATGTTTTTTTCTGGTCAGTGCCTGTAACACAGCTTGTAAAAACAAACAAAACAAAAAAAAAACAGTAGTCTACCAGAAAGTCATTGATCGCTACCCACCAAAAGAGACATGTATTGGGCAGCTATGTGAGCGCCCAGATGTGACAAAGCTAAATGGTTTGGTGGCATGAAGCTCATTAGCCTATCCAAAAAATAAAGAAATAAAATCCATAAATTAGTCGCAGCACCGTGGTGTTCAAAACATGTGAAACAAGTAGTGGCTTATAGTCTAGAAATTACGGTATCTCACAAACCACTTGCAGAAAGTACCATACCATACCAGTTTTATTTATAGAGCACTTTAAACACCCACAAGACCAAAGTGCTGTACACATAACAAAACAATCATACAATCAGATAATAAAAATGATTACAATTATTAAAAGTCATATAATAAAAGTTGTACACATACAGTACACCTCATAAAACAATCATACAGTCAGATAATAAAAGTGATTAAAATGATTAAAGTCAACATTTCAGATGGTGTCAAAGGCCAATAATTTAATGTAACTTTACAAATGATTATCGGTTGAGCCAACCCAACTTAAGATGGAGGCCACTGCCAAATTACATTAAAATACACACAGTATCTTTAATCCAGACAGTTGTACAGTTACTGTGTTGAAATTTCGAGTAGCTGAGAGTCGGTCACAACACACACGAAGGGCTTCTCAGCGCTTAAAACTTTTGCATTAACTCTTGGAGTCAACTCTGTTTGTTAGCAAAATATCCAATGAACCACTAGACATATTTACTTACTTATACATCTACAATTGATTAATTTTTGGAATCGGTCTCTTTCAAGATGTCTGTACCAACACAAAAATGGCTATGACTGTCAGTTTTACACATATTGAACTAACTGGAAAAATAACTTGTCTTTCACAGTGCATGTTAGTTGTATGACTATGCATCTATCACTTTTCAAAATAAATTAATCTTAGTCTAAAACTCTCAAATGAAAAGTAGTGGGTGACATGCATTTAGCCCTGTAATTTTTCAAAATGCATAAAGTCCTTTCAGAGGGAAGGCATTTGCATCGGTGAGCGGATTATTGTACTGGAAGAAAATGTCCGTAGGGTTGGCAGTGACTTGACTCTCCCATGTGGCGTTATCACCTGTAGGTTTGTGACAAATTGGCAACGATTGCCGGCATATGTCGCTGTCAGCCCTCACTGTGTGTTGGTCAGCCCTCTGTTGCCTTCACCATCTCATTCGCATGTTCTAAGATTTTTCTCGAAGTCATCGAGCCCCCATTCTGAGTTGTCTCTACATTTTTTTCCTGCGCTAACGATTTTAAACTTTTATTGAAATCCTTTAGAGATGTTTGGGCTTATTTTTTGTTTCCTCTGTGAGCTTCCTCGTCTTTCCCCTCGTCTCCTGGATCTAGACTCCTTGTCATCATCGCAGAGGGCGGCTGACATCACAAACAATCTTAATAACCACCTTTCAGCCCTAATCACATAGCTGAAGCTAGCTGAGAATACAATTTTTATCTTGTCTTTACCCTGTGACTTTACTGTCCAGCGTTCTTGAGGGTAAATCTGATGAAGAGAAGCATCAGCTGAACACAGTCCATCTCAGCTCTTTCAAAGTGCGCTCATCTTTTCTTATCCTGTGTCACAGAGTTTGCTTTTCTAGATATGTGCACGCACCCAAACACTTTCAATGGAGTGAGCTCCTTGATGCTTGGCTTGGCACCTGACAGACAGACGTGGCCAAGAGGAAAGGCACTCCACGCCACTGTTCTTAGTGATAACATCGCTGCTCCTAGAACTCCACAACATATACACATCTGCTGAGCTTTAAGCTCCACTCGTCCCCAAGGTATTATCAATAGATATCACATTTCACACCTCAATGAATAATTGTCAATTGAGTCAGTGATTACAGTTGTGTAATTAAGTCTTACACATACTGTAATGTTGGTTGAATCTTAATGAGGTGCGAATCTATGCTGCTGAACATTTTTTATCCTCATTTTCTTCAGCCTGTCGCTAAGACACATCTATTCTTGTGGGACATAAAGAAGAAAAGAGAAAAACAACAATGTTGTCACTCCGTCGCTCGGCTAAATCTGAAACACTCTTATTTAGCGTCTCCTTGCCTTCTCGCTCGTCGCCCTCAGGAGTTTTTGTCCTATTTATCGTTCTTTCGTCGCAGACAGTTTGTCCTTTTGCACCAGAGCTTTTTTGCATCTGTAATGATGGTCTCTTTACACAGAGGCTCTTCTACAGTATTTTTTTTTTTTCTCATTTGGAGTCACTTTTTTTAAGCTCTGTGTTTGCTTGTGTGCATCTGTTGACAGCAGTGCGTTTGTGGTGGCATTGAGGGTTGATCGTACTCTCTGAGAGCAGAAGCCTGCCGTCTTTGAAGCCAGAGTAAAGCTGCCTTTTTTGCCCCATTTCTATCAATCATTCATCACTGGAGGCACTGGCTGTTGGTGATTAAAGCTTTGCTACTGCAAGACAGCATTTGAATATGGATATGTATTTCATAGGCATGAGTACAGCTTGCATGAAATATAAAAAAACATGCACATGATTGCACGAAGTCCTGCCGTATGTCTACCAACAGAAGTGCAAATGCACTGTATACACTGACCTAACTGGGTTGACTCTGCTGGGGAAAAATTACTCATCTGCAGGTGGAAAAAGCTACTTTATATTAAGACTGCTCTAATTTGTGTGTGGGGGGGGAAATCTCCACATTTCATTAATTTCTGGGGTTTTATTCAGAAGTTGCTATTAAAGAATAGGAAACTGCATAATAAAATTTCATGATGATTTTGAGCATCAGGGAGTTTAGTTGGAAGATTTAGTGGTTCATGAACCCCGCCATGTTTCAGGCCGTGTTGTAGTTAGGTGACGCAAAAATCAAACATTTCCATCTTTTTTTCAGTCATTCATCCATTCCTTGCTTCCTCCCCTTCCCTCCACCAGAACCCATCTCTGAACTGGCTGATCGACCCACCCCCAACCCTCCCGCCACCACCCCCAGCTCAACTGCCGCAGCCGCCATCACCACCACTGCCCCCTTCCACCCTAACATGGTGTGGGCCATCCCGCCTCCGATGCCAGCCACCTCCGAGTCCCTCGAGCAGCCTCAGATCACCACCGCCTTTTCCACCTCCACCCACAAACACCGCCACTCCATCCACATCCAGCCTGGGGCGCCGGAGCCCACCGCCACTGCCAGCATCACCTCCTCCTCGCTCAGCAGTCCTGCCCCCACCTCTGCCACAGCCTCGTTTGAGGGCTCAGGCAGCGGGGAGCCAAGCGGCGATGACCAGGCCGATGAAGAGGATACCACAGAAGATGTTAGTAGTGGCATCCAGCCAGAAGCCAGTGGGGCAGACAAGACTGTTGGTAAATCCCTGCTCTTTCACTTCATTGTTCATAAAGCGTAAAGAATGAGAGGTTGTTGTTTTGTTTGTTTGTTTCTGAAAACTGGGTTGGATAAAGTCAGCGCCAACCCCAGGCTGACATCATAACGCATTCATGCCATCATCTGTTAATTAGAAACTAAAAATAGGAATAAGGCTTCAGTAATTGTATGCAAATTGATTTTGAGGAGACAAACGACAAAGCCAGGCAGGCACGGAAGAGAAATCTTTGTAGAAAGATGCTGTTAGTGTCATTTCCACTTGCAAGAGATGTATATCTCAATTTCAGACAGAAATGAATGTATTTGCATGGTTCACTGTTGCTACATCACCCATGCTTATTTTTTCTTTCTCTCCCATTCCACCAGCAGCTCACAAAACAAACCCGGACTCCGTAAAATACACTCCCGGCAGGCTAAATAGATGAAATCGTTGGCCTGGATCCAGGGATCCCTGAAGCCTGACTTGACAGGCTGATGTGACTAGGAAGTTGAAGTGTAGTGCAGACAACACACCTTGTCACATGACTGGTCTCAAATCATTGCGGACACGCCTTTCTGACTATAACAACTGGCTCCCAGGTCCTTTCTTGGACAACAAGGAATGACTGAGACTTCCCAATTAGACCTTCTTTCATATTATGTTTCCTGATGGTGCATTCCACCCATCTACCTGTCTGTCGTCGATGCCTGACAGCTCACAGTGACAGGATGAAACACCGCGGTCCAGTGTTTTCTTCCCCAGCTCATCTCCTCTCCCCCTCTCTGGTCCGTCTGTCCAAGTTTTAGATTTATTCTCTTGTCAGCTGCTGACCAGAGTGCTCAGTGACGTGGAGAGCATGTAGCCTCTCTGCAAAGGAGACCCTGTGTCTTGTGCCTGTCTGTCTGATTGTGTGTGTGAGCATGAACGAATGTGCATCCAAGCCTCTTTTTCAAACTCTGTGACAGCAACACAAGACTTTGTGTGGCTGAAGGCTCCACAGTGCAAATTTCAACATGGGATAATGAAATTTAAACGCTGTCCTTCTTTATGTTTATGTGTAGTTGTCCTCTCGACCTTTCCTCCTGTCACCTAGAGGCTGTTCAGACTTGTTACAAATTGGTTTTGGGTCATTTGATTAAAAGCAGTCACATCTGATGCCTCCGTTCACACTTGGTGGTAAACTGTTGACCACAAAACATTTCTCTTGGTGAGCTTAATTATCTAACAAACGCAATATAAGAGAAATAAAGGCACACATACACTAAGTAGTGACTTCACACAGCTCAGTGTCAGAGCAAAGACTGAAGACTTTACCTTGTGTAAATCCTGTTTAACGCATCACTGTGGCTTTTACGACAGAGCTTTAGGGCCACGCTAAGAAAAAAAATGTAAAAGCCATAATATTACGAGAATAAAGGCTTAATATTACGAGAATAAAGGCTTAATATTATGAGAATAAAGTCGAATAAAATATTAATATTACTAGAATAAAGTCGTACGAGACTTTTTTTTTTTTTTTTGACAGCTCTCGTTTGTTTTTTTTTCCTACGAATTGGATCCACAACACGACCTGTCAATCAATCCAGTAGGCATGTCAGCAAATGAACAGCCCGAAGCTAAATGAGTCGTAATATCCGAACGCCGACACGATGAATCAGCGTTTACCGCATTTTAACTGTGGTAAAATGAATGTTGAGCATCTTGTTAAGTTATACTCTGGTATTGGTTTTACAATTAAGGAGATAGTTAATCCATCAGCATCAGATTATTATCAGTATCAGGACTTTGAACCTGCTTATAGACTCTTGACGGGCTGCAGCAGCTCTGCAGGTAAGGAGCATTTAGCTTTGGATTGGTCATTTGCTGACACTCCTACTGGATTGATTGACAGGTTGCATCATGGATCCAACTCGTGGCAAAAAAAAAAGTCTCGTACGACTTTATTCTCGTAATTTTATGGCTTGTATTTTTTTTTTCTTAGCGTGGCCCTAAAGCTCCGTCGTAGGCTTTAACATCAGCTATATGTTTTGTTAAATGATTATAATATAATGTGACATAATGCTGCTCTGACTGTTGTTCTGTGATCGACCCAACGCGTTGTGGTGTACGGTGACCACAGCGAGTCCAAAAAGAATCAGAACAACTCTGTTTGATTCAGAACTAACTGGGTTGAAACTACCAGACAGATGTAGATAAAGAGGTTTGGATCACATCTGAACATGAGGTGAGGGAAAACCTTTTCACTGCCCACTGAGGCCACACAGACCCATGTTTAGCACAATTCATATGCAGTCCAATTGCTAAAAACTGTTTTTAACAAGTCTGAACAACCTCTTAGTGTGTCCAATTGCACATGTCACTGTCTGAGAACACAAACAGTATGTCAGGAGTTGTTACTTGTATGTTTTTTGTATCTGTGCTCCTTTGTAATCTGCACCTAGCTGTGTGTGCCTGCATGTGTATTTGTTTGACAGCTCTCATGGCTCCCAGAGGAGTCAGACAGAGTGCCCTTGCTGTTGTGCAGCGTCTGTAAATCTGCGGACCACACGCCAACAGATGTCCCGTAAACCCTCCTCCCCTCTCCTTTCACATTCCTTGACCGTGAGACCTTGAGCAGGACATCCCTGGCCTCTGACATCTTTACGGCTTGTTTAGCCGCAAGCTCTTTGCCGCCGTGATTATTTCTAGTCTCTGTGCGACTATAAACGGCATCTCTTCGACCAAGATGTCTGCCCCTCCCCTACAACGCTGTCATTAGGAGAGGATGGTGACCCGCTGCTGTTACTGACTCTCAGACAGAGAAAACCCTGCCATTTTTATGTTGCCTATGTCTCAAGATTTCCAGAGATACAGTAATATTACACAAACATGACAGTATTTTTTTTCCCTGGGACGACTTCAGGGTAACAGCCAGCGAGTCGGCAGTTATCACACTCCCCTATCATTTAAAGTGCTCTGCGTGTGACATGACTGGCAACAGTGCCCATTAAGTGTTCTCTGGCTGACAAAACGAGTTCCAGCTGTAAAAATCAGTGCCCATGAAAATGCCATATAATCACCCCTGACAGATGCCTCTATTAGTGTTCAATCACTGGTCAGCAGACTAAAAACACACAAACACCTGTGGAACTGGGAGCAAATTTGAAAAAATAACAAATATATAATAGGACTTGTGTTGTTTTAAGCCTGAAGGGTAGATAAGTCTTAGAGATCAGCAGTTTTACTATTTCTTTGTTTTGTAATGTTTTATGATAATGTGGATCTCACCCACAGATTCTACTACAGTGCCCACTACCACTCCACCCACAGCTGAGGACAGGTCATCCTGTGACAACACTGAGTTTGGCTGCTGTCCCGATGGCAAGACTCCATCCAGCACCCCTGAGGGCGTCAACTGTCCTCGTAAGTCAAAATACCCCCCATAAAAACAAATTTGGCAAACCTCCTAACTTTATGTTCTTTCTCCAAAATGTCTTTTGCAGCTTGTTGCACTTGTTTTTTTGTGCAGGTTTTTTTTTTTTTTTTTAGTTTTGACAACAATTGTTTGACCATCTATATTTCAGAGCACTACCTCATGGCCAGTTAAAACAAGTTTGTATTGTTTCTAGGATATTGTTCAAGGGTATGTTTTTCAACAAAATAATATTGGAAAATTGAAGGTGCATTGTGACCTTATAACACCTGACAGTATCGCTTGTAAAACAAAATCGTTGTCAGTCAAAATCGGAATCGGCAGGTCAGACTTTTTAGAAATCTTTGATCGGTGATCGGCCAGAAAACTGCAATCGGTGCACTCCTAGAGACAACCTATGTCACGTCAAGGGGCCTCCCTCCCATTTATCTTAAAGAGACATGCTGCTCGCTCCCTTACTATCCATCTTTATGATCAAACAGTCTGCCATCCAGTGGTCGAAAAAGGTGCTACACACAAAACAAATTAGCCAACATTTCTTCTTAAATTTGACAAAAATTACTAATTATTGTCAAATTTCAAACAATATTATCGTTTATCGCAATAATTTCTGAGACAATTAATCACCCAGCAAAATATGTTATCCTGACAGGCCATGCTTGTTTGTCTGTTGTGCTAAAAATATCTCATGAATTGCTGGACAGATTTTAATTAAACTTTCAGAAAGTAATCTGTGGGTGTACATCCAATACTCGTTTACTTATAGAGTCAATCCCATTGAAGGTGGTCGCTACAGCAAAGAAATTATCTATAACTCAGTTTTACAGATATTGAGCTATTATTTGGTGTGGTAGTAGCTGACACTCATCTTAAACTTATACAATGAGATATTGCATAATATCAAGCAAAGCATTTGCAAGATGTAACCCAAACAGATATATTTTTGTTGTTTCTCAACACAAAACTTCATTTTAAAACTCTGGCATAAAAGGCAGCATCTGATGTGTGTTCCTTCAAAGAATGCTAAATCTCTAACTAATTAGCTTTTTCTCTGCAACAAGATTGCAGCCGGTTAACATTTGCATTTATAATTTAAATAAATCTTGATAACGTGCCTTTTTTTTTTTATAAAGAGATGTTAAATTTTTGAGGGGGACCGATGCATAAGAGATGATGCATTTTATGAAATATACAAAAGTGTTATTGGAGCTCGGGTGGAGGGGAGGTGGTCACTGCAGAAATGTGAAGTTTTTGCTGCTCCAGAGGAGAAAAATCAATTTTGTGTTAAGAGAAAGAATAAAAATCTTTAAAATATATCAAGCTACATCACAAACACCTGTCCCCTTTGATTTAATATTTGGGTACTTAGTGCCACTGCCAGAAGGGGGAGGTATTTCACATTTTGTGCATCTGAAGGCCTTCTTCCACTTTGCATCATTAGCTTGTTAATAAGTAAGAATTGATGAATTTACAATACAATCTACCTCAAACAAGGAGAAAAAGTAATATTCTCACTGCTGTAGATTGGATCGTTTTCCTCATACTGGACATAATTTATCTTACTGACAGGTGGCAAAAATCAAAAGCTTAATTTTGACCTTTGTAAACACCATGAATCTGACAGCACCTCTCAGTCTGCACCAGCCATATTTTTTTTTTGAGATTTTTGAATAAAGTTATATATTATTATACATATTATACATTATATTTGAAGTTGACAAACAACCATTTGAGTTTTCCAACCCCTTTTCTTATTTTTCTTTCTACTTTCATTCACATACACACACACCATCTGCGCCGCTGCTCTCTCTCGAGCTACGCATCGCACTTTTCTCCCCTTCAAACCAGTCAACCTCAATCCAGTCTTGCATCAGTTCATTTCTCTCCGGAGTTGAGCGCACGGAGAGCTGAGAGACTACCAGAGGCCGACGAGCACTGTTGTACCGATCAGTGCTTTCTGCCACCGTCGGTTCATAAAGATAAAGGGCTTCTTTCTCCCCTTTACTTGTCTAGCCTTTTCCCCCCTCCAAGTCCCCATCCCGGTTTGTCCTAGAGGTGGCTGTTTGACTGATTGTGAAAAGAGGGATTCTCTCTGGCACCCAAGAGCTTTAGGCCACGACTTGAAAGAGCTTGGGCCACAAATTAGTCTGTGGAGCTGCATTTCTGGCTTGTTGAAGGTCCAAAAGCCTTCAGAGTAAGCCAGCAGAGTTTACTGCCTCAACATGATCCAGAGACACGAGGCCACCTCCACATTTATTTTCACTTACTGAATTTATAGTACAGCTGATGATAGAAGCTGAAAGAAAGGTGTTCAGGTGCAGCTCCGAAAAGTTTTCAAAAAGTAGAGGCACTGTTAATTTTGGGTTGACGCATCAGAACCAAAAGCTGTAGCAGAATTTCATTTCTAGTCTGCTGTTGTCATAAATAGACTGTTTGAAATAGTTCTATAAAGGCCCATTTGTGCTCACTTTACGTGTGTTTTGTGATGTATTTGTAGATCCACACACATTCGCACAGCCTATCAAATTCTGCCATTTCCGCTGTTGTCTTTGTTACTTTCGCTGGTCCCACGAGTCATATTGTGCTGCCCCCACCCCCACCCCAACCCACCCAATTTCCATTGGAACTGCTCCATTTGCTGCATTTAAATACACAAGCTATCTGGCAACATATTAAAATCAGCATGAAATGAACTCAGAGGATGGACAGAAGGCTTTGTCTGCACAGTAGTCCTTCGTTTATTGTGGGGGATCCGTACCCTGAAGCCCTGCGATAAGTGAAAAACTGCAAAATAGGAACAGTAGTACAAGTAGTACCTAGTAATTTATTTCAGTATTTATATATATATATATATATATATATATATATATATATATATGGATGGATAGATGGATAGATGGATGGTGTTTTAAACCCTTCCCACACTCTTGAAATATTCTAAACAATGTTTTTAAACTCTAAACGCTCTAAAAGAGCACAGCATGTCATGATTTCAACACTCTGCCTCCCGCTGCACTCTCGGGCCACGCCCACTTCTCTGCTCTGCACGAGATCAGCTGATCTCTGCAGGAGGAAGCTCCTCCCACAGCTGTGGGCTGCACACAGGTGCTAAATTATTTTAAATAATTTATTTTAAATAAAAAATCCATGCCGATCGTGTGGCTCATCCACCAATCAGCCACTGTGTGTCATGTCCAATCTTACTTTTAAAAACCGCGATAGAGCGAGTCCGTGAAAAACGAACCGCAACGTAGCGAGGGACTACTGTATACGTTTGTGTGTTTAATGTTGTGCAAGCGTGGGCCTTAATATGACAGTTAGGACTTCTTTTTTTTTTATATAGACATTAACTGAGAGTAGTGCTGCCACTGCTGAAATCAATAAGTTTGTTCTTTCCTTTCTTATATTCATTTAATAACTGAAACTAGCGTCACTTGAAGGAATACAATTTTCCTGCTGCCTTTGATGTCAAAACTTTAAACAAGATAATGGATAAGGATAATTATCCGCAACTACCTTACCGAATCGTCAATCTGGAATATTGGCTGAGTTATACTTGTGAATTTGCTAAAGTTGATTAGCTATGGTGGCCAACTAGAGTCCGGATGATGCATACATGCAATTAATACTTTCTGAGACTTTCATTAAAATCTGTCCAGTGGGTAATGACATTTGTTTTGCTAATACACAGATTATACATAGAAGACAAATTAGGAGGGGTGGCCATATCCCCCGATGACCTCCCCTTGATGGTGCCCCTGAACATATAATAACAAATCAGGAAAACAAATCAGGAAAAAGACGGTAAATATTTATCTCGGTCAACAATAGCGGCACACCGGAGATCAATACTTCATTAAGCTCAACTGTTACTGATAAATTCAGGAAGCATGATTGGATGATCAATACACTGGATCTTATTTTTCTTCTTCTTTTCCTGAGAAGGCCTCCGCTGATCTTCCACTCATTAGACGTGCGATGACACGTCCCCTCATGCATCGGCTGCCATCTCATTGTACAATTCAGCTTATTGACATCTGCCTGCAAGTCGCAGAACAAGGGGACGTATTATTCATGGGTCCACATTTTATTGAGACATCAAATGCTGAGGTTTAATACATCATTTCACAGACTTCAGGACATCTGTGACAGGATGTGTGTGTTTTAGAGTTTTGCACTTAGACACGGGAGAATATGAGCTGGTGCATTCAAACGACCATAATATTGCAAACCAACCATGGAGATAATTTCGTTTTTATTTGCTTGAATGTTGTAGCATTTAAAAATCAATGCAGGTCTCCATGTGTTATATTTTAACAAGGCGTTTTACGCTCGGATAATAGACAATGTCCAGCAAGTACTCATGTAGGAGTTATTGCACACTGCGCTACTACTAGTAAAACTCTTCCATATGCCAGGGGAACTCTGACAAATCCATTACTTTTAACAGTTCACTAGTATCTGATAGTTGAGTAGCTCTGTCCCCTCCTTTTATCTCCTTTGTTTTATCTTTCTCTTTACATCCGTTATGGAAGTGGGCTGGAAAATCACCCTCTCTGTTTGTCTTCTTTCCAGATTAAAAGTCCGATATGACTCACTGTCCCCCTCAGTTTCTTTACAGTTTTCCTGGCAGCCAGATCGCGGCCATTTGCTCCTGTTTTATGGCCACCGTCACATATGAATCAATGTGTGCAGCCCGTGAAAGTACTGTAAAAAAGCGGAAAGCGGCGATAGATGGAAAGTAAGAGTAGTGGTGGAGTGTATGTTGCTAGTGTCTGCTGTCCTTTTCATGCATTTTTAACTAGACTGTGTCAGTCATCGGTCTGGCGGCATTAAGGAGACAATTACAACTATCTCTCACGATAATCATACAAGTGCTCTTCCCGTTCTCACTGCCGTTGCTCAGGCAGGGGCAGCAATGATTGATTTGGGCAATTTGTTCTGCTGATTACGAGCGGCATGGAAGCTCGGCGTCAGCGTCTCTCACGCTCCTCTTTACCGCGCACACACATACACACACAAATGCCCTCAGCGCTCAGCTTTATTTCAAGCCCTCTCCTCGCGAACAGCACTATGAAGAAACCATATAAAACGCTGATGTATGTTTGACAACACAACCCCTCAAGGTTGCACAGGAGGAGGCTCTCCCTTTATGGAAAAAGGTGTTGTTCTGTGTGCCCGTAGGCTGTTTTCTTTTGTGTGTGTGTGTTCTTTTTCTTTGTGCCTCTTTGCATCTGTCTGACTTATTGTCTTTTTACCCAGCCCTCCATGCCAAAGTCAACTTTTGGGACGAGTCTCAATCTGGTAACACTGGTTCTCCGCCTTCTTTTCCCCTCCTTTCTTCCACATTTCACTCTTCACCTCTTTCACCACAACATCCTCCCTCACCATCACCTTAACCTTTAGCAGCCAAACTCCAGCCTGCTGTAACCCCCCCAGGTGATCAGCAACCTGCTCACTAACCTCACCTGTCAAAGAGACACAAACATGCAATCCATCACTCACCCTATGCCTAAAACGAGCACCATGTGAAGGCAGTGGGGACTGAGGTCTAGAAGAGGAGGGTTTAAGCTGCAGTGTGGTTTTAGTATCATATACTTTATTTTTGCCTTTTTTCCATCCAGCAACGATGAAGTTCTCTGGCTTCCTGAATCTTGACCAGGTGGAAGGTCAGGAGATTTTCCACACGCCTGAGATGGACGACCAAAAGTCCGAGTTGTTTGGAGAGACGGCCCGCAGCATAGAGAACGCAGTAAGTCGCACATGAGCATGACCTTTGGTTACGGCTGATCTAGTCCTGGTTTTATCAAGTCTTTCAAATGATCTCTTTTGGTTGGGAAAGAGTTGTTTCTACCTGTTGCCAGTTTGTGTCATTTGTGAGATTTCAGTCCTTTATAATAAATTTGAAGATGCTGAATGTTTGTACCCCCCTCCCCCCCAAAATAAAAAAATATATTCTGTTAAATTGCAATGTAAATGCTTAACGCTGAATGACTGTACAGTAGTCCCTCGTTTATCGCGGGGGATCCGTACACTGAAGCCCCGCGATAAGTGGAAAATTGCAAAGTAGGAATAGTAGTACAAGTAATAAGTAGTAGTTTATTTTAATGTATATACAGTATATAAATCCTTCCCACACTCTTGCAATATTCTAAACAATGTTTCTAAACTCTAAAAGAGCACAGAATGTCATGATTTCAGCTCCCTGCCTCCTCTGCTCTTTGCCACCTGCAAGCGCTCTTGGCCACGCCCACTTCTCTGCTCTGCACGGTGAACAGCTGATCAGCTGCAGCAGGAAGTTCATAAGGGCTGCAAAAAGGTGTAGGAGGTACTAAATAATTTAAGATAATTTATTGTTAATAAAAATGTCATGCCGATCGTGCGGCTCATCCATCAATTAGCCAATTGTGTGTCATGTCCAGTCTTATTTTGAAAAGCCGCGATAGAGCGAGTCTGAGATAAACTAACCGCAAAGTAGCGAGGGACTACTGTACTGAAAATTGCTGTAGAAGCTGAAACTGAAAGAAGCAGAACACTAGTTTAAAAAAAATGGCTGAAAACTAGCAAAGAAAAAATTAAAATGGTAACTATAAGCTAAAAGTAGCTAAAGGCTAGCTAAAAGGTGAAAATTATAAATGTCACCTAAACAGCAAAAGGTTAGCAAAAAGTATTAAAAGGGTAGCTAAAAGTATCAAAAGGCTAAAAGTTAAAGTTGCAAATGGTAGCTAAAATTAGCAACTGGCTATCTAAAAGCTACAGCAAGCAAAAGGGTAACTAGAAGCCAAGAAATAAAATTGTACCTAAAACTAGCATAAGAAAACAAAATAGAGCTGATATGCTGAAGCAGATTTGAAAATGCTTTAAGCTTATAAAAGCTACAAAAAACAAAAGTCAGAGCACTTATGTCCTGAATGAGCTGAATGTTTTGAAAAAAAATGGCTAAAAAAGCACAGTATGCTGGAGTAGTTAGACTGAAATACAAAACATTTGAAAAATGTTTAAAACAGGAAAATAATAGTTTGAATTGTTCACACAATGACTGAAAGAGTTCTTTTTTTTAACAAACTCAGAATAATCACAAGTTTTAGGATCCCTCAGCTCTCTAAAGTCTCTTTTAGCTATTTGTTTTGTTTTTTTAGTCTCGCAGCTGACAGCTGCTTTTAACCAGAAAAAAAAAAAAACTTTACGCAGACCAAACGATGACAGGTTTTGATATAATTTAACGCGCTGTGTTTTCAGCTTATTCTGCTGCCCTCAAGTGTCCAGCTGACAACTGACTCAAGAGAAAATTGTCACTTCGTGGCCACTGGAGGAATAAAATAAAAAAAAAGTTGTCCAGCGCATTTAGTGTTTTTCTGAAAGCGTTCTTGTCAAAAGGCCAAAAGCTTCTGAAATAAGACTCAGACGCGTGATGACACAATGAAACTCCTCACGGAGAGCCAGAATGATCAGATTCTTTCAGCTCTTTCATGCAGGTATCACCACATAGTTTACCGACTTGACACCTCTGAAGCTGCTGGGTAATATTCTGCCACGTTGAGCCGAAGTGATTTCTCTGCTCTGACGTCTGATGGAAAACTAAGAATTAAAAAAAAAAAAAAGAAGCATTTGTTCACTCTGATCAGAGAACATCATGCCCTGGCTGATTATGAGTTTTAATAAAGAGGAACATATTGGCAATCTGGTATTTCATCTGATCTGCAGAATAGATTAGGCTCCACAATCAAACATCATTTTTTATGACCCGGGTGAAAGAACAAATCTTTTCACTGCAGCAATTTTTGTTTCATGCTGCCTATTTTCAACTCCTGTCTATTTGTCAGTGCGTTTTTGTAATCCCAGCGTAGTTTTCTACAAAAATAACTGATTAATTAAAACACTTTTATAGATTTTGGCTTGAAGAAACGCTCTTCAATCTTAATGCAACTAACGTCTCGCTGCAGACGTGTGTGTGTTTGCTTGCCAAACACTTCACAATGCTTGAAAGTAGCTTTTCTTTTGAGATTAATTAAAATGTTTCCAGCTGTTTAAAAACGTTACATTTTTTTTTTTGTAGATGTGAGTTTTGTAAATTTGGATACAAAAAGCAATTAGCGAGCCACAGTCAGAGCAGCGCGATAATCATAGTTCGACTCCCACCGATGACCCGGTCCACGGTTGGTTCGTTTTCTCTTCGGGCCTTTGAGCAAACGTCTCTGTTGACAGTCCAGGACCTTGCTCCTCTGATAAACTGGGAACAGTGTGTATGTGTGTACACTGTACACATGTACCAGCTGTTAAATCGGTGTCACTCGCCCCCACTGGGACCTAATCTGCTATCTCAGTGTTTTGTGCATGTGTGTGAGTGCTCGTTAACGCTCTCAGCCTGTGGGTCTCTTGAAAGCCTGGTGTGCCACTTGACAGCAGCTGCCCCCCCCCCCCCCTTCATCTTCCAGCACAACCACTGAGCACAAACTATATAACGCACACAAAGTATGTGCAAAAGTAAAAGCGGTCTTTTTACATGAGAAGAATCGAGCTGCGGTGCATTTCTTTAAAAACATGGCATGCTACTTTTATCTTTACATAAATAAAGGACATGGGAGAAGAACACACGAGAAGTGTGTCTACATGTTAGTGTGAGACTTTCACCTCTAATCCAGCTTTGGAGGATTTTACTTCCTACTTTGTCGTTGTGCCTCGGTCCACAAATCAGCGGGGTTTGGCACGAGAAGAAATTAATCTTTTAAATACTGAAGCTGAACAAAATATACTTAATCATCATTCTCACTGACCAATCAGCAGCTTTTTATTTAGTTATTTATTTTTTTGCATCAGTGCGCACTTCATTTGAAGCAGTTGTGACTCAAGAGGTTTGAAAGTTGTCCACTCATTAAATTATACTGAAGCCCACACTTCCCTGATGTGTTCATTATATATATATATACACGTAAAAGATCTTTCAAATAACAAAACAGTCTTGTGTTAAAGGAGCGTATAGTGTAAAGCTCTTTAAGAGCAACCCATTTAACATTTGTTGCAGAAAGCACGTTTAAAGCTTCTTTTTTTGGCTGCACCTTTCTTCAGTGGTCGCTACAGTAAAATAACTCACACGATGACTTGGGAATTATTTTTACACCGGATGCCCTTCCTGACGCAACCACATACCACCGAGCTACCACAGCTTTCTGTGTGGAGCAGAGAGCTGCTATCTAGGGCAGTAAAAGAAAAGGTTTGTAAGCTCAATCATCCAGGTAGATGACAACAAAAATGGTTAAATCATGTCATGTGGACCAGTTTCTTTAAGTGAAGAAACATTTTGTCTCCCATCCAGAGGACTTTGTCAGTCTGCAGCCTGCCAACCAGATCTGTCCCATAGGTAGCCTTCATTGCTGTGAAGGAGGCAGACTGACGAAGTCCTCTGGATGGGGGACGAAACGTTTCTTCACTTAAAGAAGCGGGTCCAAATGACATGATTTAACCATTTTTGTTGTTCGTCTTGGGCAGTGTTTTTCAAAGTGGGGGGCCGCCAGGGATGGAAGACTGTAAGCTGGAGAGAAGAAGATTTAAATAAGCAAAAATAAATATGTATTTAAAAAATAAAATCTGTCATTTCCAGATAAACGCTTGGGAGAGAAGTTATATTTTTTCTGTTTTGTTCTTCTGGTCAACAGTTTGTTTAAAAGTTGTTGTTTTTTCAGTGGGAATATAATACAGTGTTTAAAACATGTTAGTTAATAACATTTTTATGCTCAGCAGCTGCAATAATGAATTGAATATAGTGAATAAAAGTTGGAAAATTCTCAAAGTTGATGTTTCTTTACATATTTTGTAGCATTGTTTGAGAGTTTGCGAGGGGGGCCTCAGCCAGAAGCTAATTATGTTTGGGGGGCCATGCCATGGAAACACTTGGGAACCCCTGATCTAGGGCACCCTGGGGAGCTTCTGTTAAGAGCCTTGCTCAAGGGCCAAGGGTGGAGGCAGGTATGGGTGTTTTGTCTCCCACCTACATTTTGATGTTGTCGGTACAGGGAGTTGAACCTGCGACCTTCCGATCACAGGCCCACCTTCTCTAACCTCTGCGCCACCACTCCCACATTTTAAAGCATAACCGCCCAAATATTTGACATTTGGATCTTATATCAGAGAACATTTGTAAATCATTTTAACTTGGATTGGCTTTAACATCTCTACTCCTTATGAATGAACAAAACAGCTGCTGTGCTGCTAATTGCATTAGCGGGACATGCAGCTTATTTGATATTAGCTTGGAGTTAATATTGTTTCAGACACAAGAAAACATGGCAAAACAATAAGTACACACCAAATATAACATTTATTTTTTACTCATTTTTTATGATGCACTCCTTTTCTTTTCTGGAAAGAATATGGATGAATTAATACAAATAGTAGAAAAAGAGCTGAGTTTAAAAAAAAAGTGGTTTAATTATAATAAGCTATTTTTAAATGGGAAAAAAACTATATTTATGATATTTTCAGGTAATCGGATTTATAATAATGTAAAGTTACATATAAATGGAGTTGAAATCGACAAGAGTTGATGAGACAAAATTTTTAGGTATCATTCTGGACAACAAACTTAGTTGGAAGCCTCATATTGAATATATTAAAAATAAAATTGCAAAAACTATTGGAATATTGATTAAAATAAAAAATTAATAAATGTAAAAGGCTTGCATATTATTTACTCTTCCTTGATTATGCCCTACTTGTCATATTGCTCAGAAATATGGGGAAATGCAAATAAAACTACTATTGACATATTAATAAAGTTACCAAAAAAAGCAATTAGACTTATTAATAATAAAGTGGGATATTGTGAACCAACTAATAAACTCTTAATTCAAAGTAATACTTTAAAATGACATTGTTTATATACAAATACTGGAAATAATGTATAAAGCACTGAATAAAAGTCTTCCTTCTGGAATTCAAAAATTAACTTAAGAGAGAGTAAATATAATTTACGAGATTCGTTAATATTTGAACATGCTAAAAGAGAAAAGTAAAGTAAAATCTAGATGTATTTCAGTTGTCGGTGTGAAACTGTGGAATGAACTGAATGATGAATTCAGATTATGTTTTTGTTGGTGAGCTTTAAAAGAGTCATAAATGTAAAATTGTAAAAGCTTATGGAGATGTTATGTAAATATATGTATTGTGTAACCATGTATGTATGTAATGTGAGTATGTGTATGTATTATATACATGTGTATTTAAATATACGGTAAATGTCTGTATGTGTATTTATGTGGACAGTAGATATTATGTCGACTGCTGAGTCCATGAACGGGGTAGGCAAGTATAAGCCTTGGCTTCAACCTATTCCTTTTTTGGTAAATAATGGGTTTACCATTTTATTTTGTTTTCCCTTTTTTAGTAATTTACCAAAATAAAGTTGAGTTGAGGTAAACACCAAGTATAACACTTATTTTTTTAATTATTTTAGGATGAGCTTGTCTTGGTTTTGTTGTGGTTTTTAAGCCAAAGGATTTTTTTTTATTAGCTTAAAAAGATTAGCTTAGCTTCCTCTCACAGCTGTCTGTCCTGTTGGCTCATAAACACAGCAAGTCATCAGACGCCAACCCTGTGAGAATATAAGGGCAGCGTGACATTTATCTTTGCTGCTCCTGAAAACTTGCTCCTAAATTAACGTCGCCTCAGCCAGCTAAATGTCAATTTGTGCACCCGCGCCCACCCGCGTCCCTCTCGCCGGTGGGCGGCAGTCTCCCTACAAGACGGCGTACAGTAAAGCGTGGCGCTCGTTGCATGTCTCGTTCATCACCTCTTGTCTCTTTCTTTCTCTGCTTCAGCTGAACGAGTTGTTCAGGAAGTCGCCGGTGCACAGAGACTTTCTGGGCGTTCGCGTTCGCAACCTGAAACCCAGCCGCTCCATCTTGGCCGTGGTGGAGGCTCGCTTCAGACCGGGTGAGAGACGCCTCAGCTGAGACAAAACCTAAAGAAATGTAGAGAGCGTAAATAGTTATCTATAACCCTTTACAGTTAAATAATTATACACAAAGAGAGATTTGCAGTTTTTTCAAAATTTTACAAATATTTCACTCATACACCAATCTCTGTAAAGTTTTAGTAACAATGTTCTACGTTTTTTTTACAAACCTATGCAATCGTTTAAAATCATGCTTTGATATTCCACAGTCCAAACTTTAACTTTTCATTTTCAGTTGTGAAGGAATTCATTAAAGGATGTGCATCGTTAGCAGCCTCCTCAGTGCTGCTAATAAGTTTTAATTTAGCTACAAATATTGTAAATGTATTTTTTTTTCTTCCTTAGCTGCATAACAAACCCACTCTCTCAACATGAAGCAAAAAAAACACTTCAGCAGATTTTTATTTTGAATGTCTGCACTGAAGCAAAAATTACTTCATAGATACTCAGAGAATTCTTTATCTTTAATAGTAAACTCAGTCCTGGTGCAAAGCATCAATATGAGTAAAATGTGTGACGGGATAGAAATGAAATATGGTGTAAAATCAAAATGCATCTTATTAGTTTTAAATGTTAAGTTTAGGTAAATCTGTTGCTCGTGATTTCATCGCAAGGCTTAAAAGATCTAAATTATGTGGATTGAAATGTGTATTAAAATCGTTTGGCCGATGCACTAAAACATTTTTTATTATTTCCTTCTGCACTACAAAGAACCAGAGCCTCCTCTGTACTCTTTAAAACACATTTTATGAGCAAAATTTAGCATCCTTCACACCCTTCACACGCCGCTCCTGCATGGCCTGTAAAACAAACATCTGCGGTTAACATTATGAGAGCGATTCATCTGGAAAAAAGTCGGGACAAGCAGTGGTTGGAGGACAAGTGGTCCATGGAGACCCTCCACCTGTCATACACAAGGCTGTCTGATGTATTCATCGTACCATTAAAGGAACCTGAGTCCTGTGTTCCTTTGTAGTGCTCCTCGGAGGCCTTGTCCTGAGTGGCTGTACCTCTTGTTTATTGTAGACACGAGATACACCGAGAAGGACATCGTAGCAGCCCTGCTGAAACAGTTAAAGGCCTCCAAAGACACCAGCATCTCTGTGAAGAAGCCTGAGGATGAGAATATTGGCTTCACTAATTATGGTAATGTAATGTGGATTTAGTTTTATAAAACGAAACAGTTATTCATAATGTGCTTTATCAAAATCTCAAGAACAAAGCTCGGCATTCTTAAGCAAATAGATTATTATTATTATTATTCTTTTAGGCCTGTCCAGCATCCCCTTCTTCACCACTACTACCACCACTACACCGGCCGTCACCACAGCTGCCCCTATCACCACAACCAGACCTCCGGCGACCTCCCCCTACATCACCCGCCGCCCACCAGGCACCACCCGCCGGCCCTCCGGTGGCAGGCGTACAACCACGACAGCAGCTCCGGTCACCACGCCACGCCATTCCATTACCACGACCACGCTGCCACTGGCCACCGTTCGAAAAACGCCTCGGCACAAGCCCTGCGACTCCCACCCCTGTCTCCATGGGGGCACTTGCGAGGACGACGGCAACGACTTCAGCTGCAAATGTCCTGCTGGACGAGGAGGGACCGTGTGCGAGAAGGGTGAGTCAGGCGGCATTACATGTTCATTTTCGTTAAATATAAGGGCATTTTTAAAAATACTTTTTAAGTTTTAGAATCGGAATAAGTTTTATTATCATTGTACTGGGATCCAGTGAGATTATGTTCGTACAGTCGTCTGAAAGATGGGCGGAGTGCACGTTGCTGCTGCTATAATAGCGCAGCCCCTTATTCTTTATCAGAATACTTTTAGATAGAAAAAGGTAAGAGCCATGAGGATGGATAGTGGTATTACAATAAAAGATCTCTTCACATCTTGTCCTATCAGATCAATAGACAAAGCTTTGTCCCTAGTTGTCCCTGTGCCAAGAAAAATTTGATCCGAGGCCAAACGGAAGAGTCAGATTCAGATTTGTCACGATTATTAGTTTTCTTCAAGCAGACTGTTTTTTTCTTGTCAGCCTTAAGTCCTGCTGGTACTTTCCCAGTCCAAAATGGCCAGATGTATGGGTCACTCCACTGCTCCGTGTTGTGAGCCTTCCTCAAGGTCGAGCCCAAAAAGCTGGCGAGTCCTAGAAGCCGCAGGTGGCCTACGATTAAAAATCTGCGCTCACTTAAAATTCATCTAACTAAACAATAATTCTTACCAGTGCAGAGAACAAACACAAATCCCCACCGAAAGACGTATCCTTTTACACAGGTTTTCAGAATCAGAATGCCTTTATTGTCATTATACACAAGTACAATGAATTTAAGAGCCACTCCTTTTTTCAGTGCAAAAACATGCTCAAGAAAAACACACACTAAAAATATAAAAAGATGTAACGCAATATAGATATAATAACACCATGAAAGTAAAAAATACAAGTATTTCACAATTATATTGCACTTTATGGATATTAGTGAGATAGTTAAGGTGATTGAGATTGATTTTGTTGAAACCCTATTACTCACCATTGAACCAGCCATTTCTTTTAGTTTATAGTTACTGCAAACTACAACCTTAAGTGCTTTAACCCATACAAAGGCAGTAGAAACACACTGTTGTAATACAAACAGTTTTTAAAAGAAGGTTTTATGAAATCAAAGATTCATGGTAAAGAACGCGGTCTATAATTCTCCTGTCATGCTTTAGTTTGCCGTGAGTGCCAGGTACCTTCAGTGGCAGTGATGACTTTCAGTTAGTGCCTATTTATGTAAATTAAAGTTTTAAGTGCTCACAGATGTGAATTTATAGTGCGATTTAAAGCCTGAACAAATTACCAGCAGCCAGAGCCTGAGAGAGAATGTCAGGTTTGTGCTTTTTTTTTTTTTAAACTCAAGAACAAAGAAGTCAGGTGCGATCGAGTCAGACAGCTCTCAAACTCGTCTCTAGTGACTCAGATAGTTTCAGCATCTCATTAACGCACAACTACTGAGTTGTCACTAAAAGTAACATCAAGCCCAATCAGCTCCTCAGAGAAAATCACAAAATGAGGAGAACTTTTTGATAAACACATTTTTTTGTTATTGTTTTTTCTTCCCACTTACCCTACTTTGGGATTTGGAGGAGCGACCTTACACAGCTGCATCTTTAGATAATTGACACTAATTGCTTTGATGGGGATTAGATGATGAGAATTGCTCTGTGTCTTTGAATCAGAGTGGTTAACTGAAATCACACACACACCCAGCCTCCCCCAGATCAATCAAGTCATTAGAAAACAGGGAGCTCATCGGCTGCCATTCTCCTCAGAGAAATGGGCAGAGACAGATGGACCAAAGACGAAAATGAGGCTTGGGTAAAATTATATTTGTTGAGTGGCTAAAAAGCAAATCCATCTTGTAAACACGTGTGAGAGTCCATGAACCTGAGAGTGGGGGCGCAAAGGTTCCTCTCAGTTTCTTCCTTTTTGTAAAACTCCAAAAGCTTTTCGGTAAATGATTACTCCTGAAATAAACTGATGGACTGGCTGTTTTTCCTATCAAGACGCAGCGACTCATCACCGCCACTCATGCGTAATTATGCACATTAAACTTCTGTTAGGCTGAGATAAAGCAAATCACACGGTAATAACAGAATTGGCTTTTTATCCTCATTCCTCCGCAGTGATCAAATACTTCATCCCATCTTTCGGTGGCCAGTCGTACTTGGCTTTCCCGACAATGAGCGCCTACCACACGGTCCGCATAGCCATGGAGTTCAGAGCGTCCGAGACGAGCGGCCTCCTCCTCTACAACGGTCAGATGAAGAAGAAGGACTTCATCTCTCTGGCTCTGGTTAACGGCAGAGTGGAGCTCAAGTGAGTGTTGGCTCAGCTAAGAGGCCCATCAACCTTGGTATTTATTGATTCAGCTGTTTTTGACAGATTAAATTTAATAGGTGGTTTTATCCTTCCAATTCATCCTTATCACAAAATGTCATGAAACATTAATGATCCCCATGAGGGAGCAGGGTCATTGCAGCAGCAGCTGGGAGAGGATGTAAATAAGAGCAAAGCAAAGAGAGCTAAAGATAATGAGGCAAATGATTACAGTGAGTAAACTTGTGGAAAACAGCGGTGCTTCCAAATAGATAAAGATACGGGGACTTCTGGACAATTTGTAGGTTTAAAAGGTGGCATGCCAAAACTGATCGAAGCAGATGCAATGACCTAACCTGTAATAAAAATTGAATTTAAAAGATCTGATACCGGTGACAAGTGATGTTTTCATCTATACTAAAATCTCAGTGCTCCTTTTTTTTGGCACTACAAATGTAGGAATACACGTAACACTTTTGGCTAAATTTGGTGTACCGTATTTTCACCATATGTGTTGCACTTTTTAAATTATTTTTAGTAATTTGCATGCCCTGCGTCTTATAGGCCGAAGTGATGTATTTATAGATTTTCCCCCCATATTTATAAACCAATTTTTGGCTGAGATATGACTGTTTTCATTCATTCTGACTGAAAATATTGAACACTACCATTTTTCAGCCGCTAGTTGGCACTCGGGTTGTAAGGCATTCCGTTGTATCATGTAATAGGTAAAAATGGCTATTAATGACATATTCAAAAAAGTTCAAGACAAAAACAACTGGACTTTATTTATTATACTTTACTTTATATTTTATTGTTTTTGTTTTGAACTTTTTTTGAATGTAACATGTCCTGGATGACTGAGAATTTTCACCAGCTATTAATGACACAATTGGCTTGCCATAGTCTGCCACCTTCATTCTGCTCGCTGCTTGGAGCAACTGTCAAACCAGCTTCATTTTGCTTCACTGCCCTGGTGAAATGCAGCTAATTTGACCATTAAATGGGGGGCCGAGATGGTGTAGAGGCAGGGCAGCCGGCCTGGGACCCAAAAGTCCCAGGTTTGATCCGCGGTCACTGCACACCTCGTGGTGTCTCTGGGCAGCACACCTCATCCCCAAAATGCCCCCCAGGCACCCTCAGCAGCCGCCCACTGCACCGGCCGGTGGTGGATGGGTTAAATGCAGAGACTAATTTCGCCATTGTATGGAAACATACAGTGATGACATTGTGAGGATATTATTATTATTATTATTATTAAAGTGCATTTATTAAGCAAACGTTCGACTGAGACACACCTTTGCTATAACGTCGAGCAAACAATTGTTTTTAGGTGTTTATCTTGTTAAATTTCAAAGAAACGCACAGCGACTCGTCTCTCTGCGCGTTCGTACTTCCGCGTATCGGCTTTTGAAATGCATCTGATTGGACCATCAAAGTGCATTTATCAAGGAAAAGTTAGACTGAGACACACCTTTACTATAATTTTGAGCAAACAAATAATTGTTTTTAAGTGTTAATCTTGTTAAATTATTATTAAAGTTCTCCTGTACATGCTCCTGCGGCTGCCATTTGGCAGCCAATCAATTTTTGGCACAACACCGGCACACATTTCTGTCTTCGGACCACATTTCCGGGTTGTCAATGGTGACGCATAATAGATGCGCCGTATACGGCAAAGCAACATATTTATGGATTTTTTTTTTCACTTTATTAGACATATTTGGACTGATGCGACTTAACTTATAGGACAGAGAAATGTGTATGGCGGAAAATACGATACATGAAGAACGGAACAGGGCATTTCTTCAGTTAAAAACACATTCACTCTTATTGAAAGGTTGAGCTTGGGTGTCATTCTCCATCAGTATTCCACAGGAGCTAACTCTTGTCCCGATTGTTGGGTCAGAAAAAGTTATCGATCAACGTCATGGCCCCACATCAGCCTCATCAACTGAATCAACGCTTGAAAAGACGACAAGAAACTACAAGCCTCATTTCAAGGAGAAAATGCATCAAATTAAAATAATTATTTCTAGTGTGATTTAAGTTTTAAGCTTTTCCGAGATCCTTTTCATCACCATCAAAGAGTCGGGCTTAAAGCTCATACTGGAGCTGGCCTCTAGGGGGCAGCCATTTTGTTTCTGTTTCAACTTCCAGATGACTTTTATGTTTGAAGGGAACTCGCTTGGTGGCATTTTACCACTCTGAAATACAGCAGTTTAGCGTTGATCAGTCTTTTAAACCAAAAACATACAAATAACATTGTCAAAACTGCACAATGTTTAGTCAAAACTTATTTTAGTGCATCTTCAGTTTAATTTTTTGTTTGTTTTCTTCCATCCAAATTCATTTTGTGTGCTCCTTTAAGACAAAGTACTTACCTTGTAAGAGTAGTTCTGGGGTGATTAGTCACTTTCATTTATGAACAATATATGTTATAATAAGTATTATAAGTGTACTATGTTAATTTGTCATTAAAAAAAAACTAAAACACAGAATGAGCACACATACTGCCCAAAATTCATATCTATTTTACAAATAAAGTGATATAGAATTGAAAGACATATTTTGGGACTGTACAAACTTGCATTGTTTAAAAACTTCAGGTAAGTGTATTGATTTTTTTTTTTTTTCCAACAGATTAGACATTTGAAATAATCCACAAATGTATAAAAGTTGTCACGGTGCACAGACAGACCTTGTATCTTGAATATTTTTCTTCTTTTTGTCCTTAGTTGCATAGATAAATGAAAACTTTAAAGTTGAAATGCTCTAGAGTGGATGCATATTAATAACAAACATGAAGTAAAATCCAAAACAGAAAGACGTGAAGAATAAAAAGACTAGGAAACTAGAAGATATGAAGAGTATGAAGTTTATCATTTAAAGATAGAGGAGTAGAAAAGTGCATTTAGTGCATCTACTTTCACCTTTTGATTTGAGCTGTCAGTAGCAAGAAGACAATTTTCTTTGCAAGGAACCTTCTGAAACACTATTATAATAATTACAATAATACGATGTACCGGTATTTGTCTTTTCTCCCACAGCAGAATTTTATGAATAAAGATTATTTTGGAAAATCAGGGCCTTCAGACAAGATGTGCATAGACTAATTTCGGTTTCTGCACCATGTCTGATTTGGAAGCATTGTTGGAGCGAAGTCTGCTTATCTTGGATTTTAGATTTCACCATGACCCTCTCAAAGCTCTTTCAGCCTCTCTCAACCTGGCCAGGTTAGACTCATCCATTGAGGATGAAATCAATAGCGAACTCGAGGGGATCATTAGTCACCCGCGCTTTCAAAGAGGTCTCAATTCCAGAAATACAGCGGTGAGATTACCACCCACAACTTTGCAAATCCGAGACGTGGGGAGAGAAAATAATTATTTGTGGCAGATAATTGCTCTCAGGTTGAGCTAATGCTGCTGTATGTGTGGGTGCACATGCACCACAGCTCTTTTCTATGACTATATGGCCTTTTTCTCACCAAAACCCCATTAGATAAAAGGTTGTATGAAAATAGTGGTATGAAAAAAAAATTGTAATGAGTAACTGCTGAATTTTAGTCATGTAATTTTGGCATTATTGTATATTTAGTCATCTGTTTGTTGAGTAACATTAGCATGTTTCTTTTAGTCATTGCTTGATTTTTAAAAAGAAAAAAAAACCCTGTCTCGTTTGCGTTGTGAACGATATTGACTGTGCATGTCCACAGGTGTTGGGAGATTTCTTTTTGGGACACAGATGAGTTAATCCACTCTTTGTCAATCCCCTTTCAGGTTTAACACCGGATCCGGCACTGGCACCTTGATCAGCAAAGTTCAAATCAATCAGGGACGCTGGCATCAGCTGGTTGTAACGCGCAGTCGCCGAACTGCCGTGCTCCGTGTCGACAACGAGTCACAGGTCCAGGGTGACAGTCCTCCGGGCACAGACGGCCTCAATCTCGACACCCAGCTGTTTATTGGAGGGGTGACGGAGGAGCTGAAGCAGGAGTAAGACTGTTTGTCTTTGTATTTAACGCTAGTGACGTGGTTGTATTGACGACATGGAGCAGAGGATGCAGTAGCGACCTCATTCCTATAAGTTAAATGTCCAGTAGGATTGATGAGTGCAACGTTCTGTCTCCTCAGTGTGAGGGAGCGGACAGGGGTTTCCTCAGGCCTGGTGGGCTGCATCCGCATGCTGGATGTCAACAACCGGATGCTCAACCTTCAGGAGAGCGACGGGGACAGTCTTTTTGGCAGCGGGGTTGGTGAATGTGGGAACAACCCCTGTCAGCCCAATCCCTGCAAGAACGGTGCCGAGTGCCAAGTCAAGGAGGCCGAGATGTTCCACTGCAAGTGTCGCAGGGGCTTCTGGGGTAAGACAGCAGCATATTAAAGTTTCATCATTAAAATGACTGTTGCAAACCTTTGAGAAATTAATTTGTGTTTGAAAGCATGGAGGACTTGGAAACATGAGAAATCGATTTTCTGCAACAGTGCAGTTTAAATGCTGAGGGCTGAATGACTGCTGAAGTTTGCCGAATAAGCTAAAACTGAGTCGTTAAAGTGAAAACAAGCAGAACAGTTGGTAAAATGAGCAAAAGAAAGGCTGATATGAGCCAAACATAGGCTGTAATTAGAAGAGCATGTGCTAAAAGCAGCAGAACAGTAGCTCAAACTACAAAAGTGCCAAAACGATTGCTAAGAGCTGAAAGCAGCAATGCAGTAGTTGAAAAATAAAGATGCTAAATGATAGCTAAAAGTGGCAGAATGGTAATTAAAAGTAGCAAGAGTAATCAGTGGATTAAAAGAAGTGTTTTAAAGTTTCAATGGAAACTTTTGTCCTCACTGATTTTGAAATCTATACAAGTTACATAAACTTAAAAAAAATCCACACACACTTTTGTGGATAGAACTGAACATTTTAATCTACGAATGGTTATGAATATTATTAGATTGCAAGTAAAGCGTGTGGAAGAATCTATAAACAGGAAAACAACAGTATGAATTCATTAATTTATGATAATTGGTTTGAAAACGTTTATACTACGATATAATCCAAATTGTCATTTGTAGTTAAAATTTTAGTCCTACATGGAGTCAGATGGTCAAAAAGTTTGAAACTGACTTGAGTCGTTGCCTTCTTTTTAAGGATTCTCTGTGGTTGTGCCTTACAGACAAATCCTCAATAATTCTGACCGCTTCGTTAAAGAGCATAAGTCATGTTCTCGTCAGAGGAGCTGGAAGTCAGTTTGTAAACATCAAAATCTATGTGTCCAACTCAGAAATGAGAGATTAAGCATCAGGAAGATGTGAAATCTTTGAAAAGTTTTTAGGTTTTTGGCATACAATATAT